TTACTCCCTTGGAAGTGGAGTTTCATTAGGAAGCGACTATCTTACTACACGCTGAGCAGCACCGAATTGAGTGGATAGGGATGGGGAGGGGTCTATGGAAATATAGGCTCGACCATCCCACTAGAAATCCTTACCTACCTGTTTCGCATTCTTGTCTATTTGTTGAATAAGTTGATCGATATCTTGCTCGCTCAGTCGCGTAGTGATGCAACACACCCTGAGGCCCACGACTCCTGACACGCGAATAGGGAAAATGCCTGCCAGGTTGTCTTCGACCAGTGTGTCCGAGATCTTAGTGTTGATTCTATCTAGACCCTCCCCGGAGCACGTGCCGGGATTATACCGGAAGGTCACAATACCAAGCTTCGCATGCGTGAGGATCTCCCACCCCTCTCGAGCCTGCAAGCGAGCTTGCACTGAGTCCGCCATGTCAATGCCATAATCGATCATTCTGCCAATCCGCTCCTCACCCAAGACTCTCAACATGAACCACAGACTCATGGCTCGAGCGGGTCTGGTCAGCTCCACGCTGAGATCCCACGGCTCAGGCTGCTCGCTCAAGCCGCCAGCCTGCTGATCCATCAGTTCGGACTGCACCCCGAAGGTCGAGCACAAATGGCCCCGGTCGCGAACCAGGAGCATGCCGCAGCCGAAGGAGGAAAAGAGCCACTTGTGCGCATCCCAGGCGACGCTGTCCGCGGCGCCGAGCCCGGCCACGAGACGCGCATGGGCATGCGACAGCGCCACCGAGGCGCCGTACGCCCCGTCGACATGCAGCCAGAGCGACTCTCTCAGCGCGATGTCCGCCAGCTCGGCAATGGGATCCACCGTCCCGGTCTCAGTATATCCGCAGGTCGCGACGATCATGAACGGGAGCAACCCCTGCCGCCGATCGGCGACCAACTGCGCTTGCAGATCCCCGACGTCGAGCTCGAAGACCTCACTGCAGCGGACGCGATGGACCTGGCGGTCGGCGAACCCGAGCACGCGCGCCATCTTGGCGACGGCGTAGTGGGCCCGCTCGCTGAGGTAGATGACCCCGCGCGCGGCGCCGTCGAGTTTCTGGTCGCGCGCCACGGCAATGCTCATCAGGTTCGCGACCGACCCGCCGGACACGAACACCCCGCCCGCCGTGCGGGCCGGCAGGCCCAGCCGCGCCGCCAGCCACCGCAGCAGCTCCTCCTCGACCACGCACGGGCCCCGCCCGACCTTCCGGCCGCCGCCGTGCGCGTTGAACGCCGCCACCAGCACGTCGCCCACCCAGCTCAGCTGGATCGTGCCGGACGGGATGAACCCGAAGAACAGCGGGTGGTTGACGCGCAGTCGGTGGTCGAAGATGGTCTGCGCCTCCGCGATGACCGCCTCCAGCGGCTGTGGAGGGCCCGGCCGCGCCCATCCGCGGATCTGCGTGAGGTCTTGTGCGCTGGTGTGTTGGGTGATGGGTGCGTCGTGGCTCGGCGGCGTGATGTCCAGCAGCTCGGTGAGGAGGTGCTGGATTCGCGGCCAGTGCGTTCGGATCTCGTGGTCGAGTGCGAGGATGCTCTCCGGCACCGGTGGGGACGGGCTTGGGGCGGTATGCGAGGTCATTGTTTTGCGATGGAGTGTGGATTTGGGAGTCTGGGTGTGTACAGCTGTACAGCTCGGTGGGGAAGGGGTTGCGTTGGGCTGTGCCGTGGACAGGTAGAGGCCTGTGTACGGTGACATCAACCGGATCGGCTGGGCGAGACCGCGTAGACAAGGTCAGTCCGGGGAGAAGCCCCCGTCTCATTGTGGGGACAATGCTGTCTCTGACTCCGTCATCGGCCGTGCATGGCCCAGGAAGTGGTGGCGGTTTGGTACTGCATCAGGTTTTCTGCTCGTCGGGTCGAACTCTCTTGGTCCCGCGGAGGGGAAATCAGGGTTGCGTGTGCCGCGGACGATCCATTTGGGTTTTCGGACCACTTCGAATCGTTGGTTCATCCGTCATCGGGGTGAGGTCAAGGGCCTAGAATGAGATTTTGCATTGGGCAATGCGATTTGAGGGGTTGGTGGTAGATGCCTGTTGCTGCATGGCGTGTGTGCTGGAGCCCTGATTGAGTCTGCGACCGGTCGGGCAGTTTTGGGTGGTTGATTGTCGCCGGGTGGATGCGACTATCTTTGTCAGATGATCATCTATCTGCTGTTTTCTGGTGCTGACTACAGGTACTAATCATGGCCTGAGTCGCGCGCTCAGATGTCTGAGGAAGATGTTAGATAGAACGCTCGATGCACCTGTGGTGGAAAGCTGTCGTCGGTCCGTGCCAGGTGAACGGTCTTCTCAGGTGATCCGGCGTGCCCTAGTATAACTGCTACCTTGCATCGCCGAGGGCAGTTGATAATTGAAACCACGACCAACGCTTGACCATGCGAGAAAGGAGCCTCGCCATACGGGAGGCCAGGAAAGCAGATCCTGTCCCGGGACTATCCGTGTCGGAAGATTCAACTGGGTTGGCGAGCGACGAGCGACGAGCGACGGGGCTCTGGCCACGGATCGAGCTTGGGGTTGAAGACCAGCTCACCCGATCCCTAGTAGAAGGGAGTAAGCGTTTGCGACATACATGCAGCGATTCATCATGTCCCCTCTGGATCACGCAGCGAGGACTTCTCCAATCCAGTGGCAGTGTGCATCGTAGCGCGGCATACTCGCAGTAGTCACGTGCATCCCAGACCCAAACGCTCACATTGTCTTGTTCCGTCGCGAGGTTCCTTCGGTCGGAAATCACACCTCATTACACCGAGCGGCGGGTGACTAAGGAGGATAGTTGAGCTCAAGGGTCACTGACGACTGGCAGAAGAGAGTGCAGGCTTAAGCTCCTGTCAGTTGTGGCTTGGTGTCAGCGCCAGGCTGCTGCTGCAAGGCACCCCGCTTAGTATGTCAGCACATGCGTGTGCTACATACCGTGGACACGTGTTCACGTGTACGAGGCAGGTATGCCCCATGCGGCCGATCGGATTGTGCCTGCTGGCTCGCCTCGCCGCGACCGGCCGTTAAGATCACGACGAGGATCTGCAGGGGATTTGCACGTCATATCACATCACTGCTTGCGAACCGTGGCACGGAAGGATAGGGGGCAGGGGCCGGCGGAACTTTCGTGCTCGTGGTCGCCTGCTTTGGCGTGCATGGGCATATGCAGGGGCCGGATGCTTGGCGTGCTGCTTGTCTCATCTTGCATGCGGCAGCGTGTTGCTTTTGAAATTCCTTCTGGCTTGTGTAGCACAGATTAGCTATCGTACTGCAGACCCTTGATTTCGATCTAGGATGAAGGGAATAGCGTGAGTTCATCTATATGAAAGAGTGGTTGTTGATATCGAGTAGTCGGAGACGACAGCAAAGGAATCTTACATAACAAATTGTCACGATATACTACAACGACATACCTCTAGTACGAAAGAGAGCAGATCGGAAGGACAATTCAACAAGAGTCGTGTTGATAGTAGCTTTCACTACTGGTCTCTCGGCTCTCGAATACTCTTCGATCATCGCATAGATTCCACAGCAGCCTCGGTGACTCCAGACACACACACAGGAGCACCAAAAGTCCCGCGGAATCGCCTATCTCGCGGCGTGAGACACTCGCAGTTACTCCGACGACTCCACGGCCAGGAAGTAATCCGCCGCCACCGGGGGCCCGACCTGCTGGGCAATCTCCACCAGTGCAGGCGGCTGGTTTCTTTGGCCGCGACTCCGGGGACGAGCGGGTAGCCGGTGGTGGTTGTGACGGCCTGCGCGGGGATCGAGAGAGGTCGAGCATGAAGAGCTGGCACCGGCCGTGGGTGTCGCGGGGGTGGGCTGGAAGGCTTGTGGGGGCATTGGTGGTAACTATGAGATGCAAATTGGTGAGTAATCGGCTGATGGTGGTATGGGCTTTGGGTACGAGGTTATTCAGCTGAGCTGGACTTACTGGATGGGATCAATCAGCGACCCGGGAGTGATGATGGTGGTGTTGAATTCGACGCCGAGATAAGTTGGAAGACTCAGGGAGAACCCGCGCGGGCGACTGGGCCCAAGCGGTCGCTGCGCCGAGAGCGGCGAGTGATATGGTCATGCATAGCGTACCAAGGATACAGTCGACTCGAGCGGATCATCGCAGCGATGATGCGGGCACTTGTACGCCAGGCTTTCTCGCAACGTTGCGGTGGTTTGAATGAGATGCGGCCTCAATTAGGGGAGGATTCATAGTACAATAAAAAGGGCAAGTCCCCACCGCTGCCGGTCGCAGGCGGATTGCAGGCGGATTGCACTCGGATCGCACCCCAGTTTACAGAATAGTTGGTGCCGTCGTGCAGACATGGCATGGTGGTTGGGGATGGTTAATGTTGTTGCTCCGGAAGTACGCGCGACGTTCAGGCGAGGTAGGCTTGTTGACCGCCTGCTACACATGGTAGTCCGCCCGGCAGTATGGGCCTCCCAATACTTTTACAGTAGGCGATGCCTTCGGGATGAGTAAGAAGGGGGGCATTGCATTTTCATCTCCTCCCATTGTAACTATACCGTGATCTGGGGTGCAGAATAAGTAAGCGAATGGCCTTGTGGGCAGCGCGGCGCTCCGGTGAGTATGACAAAGACAACGTTCCAAGATGACATTAGAGTATCAAAGCCATTCATATCTCCTCCTCGATGGTCTAACGGTCATGATTTCCGCTTGTCACTCCTGCCAAGGAACAAGCGCGGGAGACCTGGGTTCGACTCCCAGTCGGGGAGATCATCTTTTTGTTGATTCCGCGTGTCCTGCTTTGTTTTTCTCCGTCTTTCCTGGTCCCCATTGTTGCATTTCCTTTATCTCCAGCCTACCTTTCTGGCATTATAATGGGTGGCGCCTTGACCCAATCATCACGGGAGGCACAATCGGGACGGTGAATAATAAAAGACACGCGATTCTTTGTCTCTACATCATCAGAGAGGAAACAAACTATCCGGCCTCTTTACATCGTTACCCCGGACTGATGTGGGCTGACGGGTGAAGTTTAGAGTGTATAAAGCATCCGGATTTGCCAGGTCACCCCCGGCGGTCTTTGCATGAATCCAATCACTCTTAGCCTCGACTGAATAGCATACTGGGTGTAAGAATGTCTGTCCCCGACTGTGCTCCATCTGATGCACCTCTCGACATGGCTGCACTTGTCGCCGCGGAGCGGGTCTTCCTCCGACTCTGGTACAACCACCATTACGAGCTTCATCAATCCTGGGCGGTCCAAAGGGAGAGCCCGTGGCTCCGTGCACTGGGTGGGCCTCAGCAAGATCTCGCCTGTTTCCTGGAAGCCGTGATGCAGTCTCTGACCGGAGCAAAAATAAACGAGATGTGCCCGGTTGATGAGAGCGCGTACAGGAAAATGAAAGAAGAGGAGACCCGTGGGGGCCTCGAGCTGGTCTCCTACCACTGGGGTCGTTACGCGCCCATCCTGGCCCGACTCTACCGGGAGAGAAGGGGACGGGCGCGGAGGTTTCTGGATCCCGATCTCTGGCTAGCTTCCTATGGGGAAGACTGGGTGTCGCAGGCCATCCACACCATGGCCCGCTTTGACAAGGCGTTCGCAGCCTTGGGTGATTCGCAGTTTGAGCCGATCATCCGCGCCTGCATTCAGAAGTATGTGGGAACCGCCGCCGTTGCTCGCATGGGCACTGATAACACGCAGCAACCGCGCCATCCGACCCCGTTCGAACATGGCCACGACTGCCAGGTCTGTTGCCGCCCGCTGGGAGACAAGCTCGAGGCCATCTTCTGGTGCAAGCGCCACTGCGGCTTCGCCGCCCACGTCGGCTGTATTCGGGAGTGGTGTCGAGAACGGGGACCGGCGGACTCAGAAGCCCCGTGCCGAAACACCTGTCTGCAGTGTCGTCAGCCCTGGCTGAGTCCCTGGGGGGATTGTTTCTGGAAGACCCGAGACAAGATCACGTGGTGTGAATGCCGTACTGACGATACTGAAGAGGCACCGCGCGAGATGCCTGAAGGCTTGCCGGAGCGGCCCTGGCCGCCACTCGAGTGGCATAGTTTGTACTAGGGCTCATGGTGGGCTACTTTGTGCCAATCTGCAATGTTAAGTTGATTGACCTATGAAGATTTGTCATCGACGTGGCACGTAGGAAGGAGGTGAAAGTAGTTGACTCGCGGAGAGGGGACGGTCTCGGTGTACGGGAGACCGCACTGACACGAAACGCAGTCAGTCGCCTTGTAACCTTGTAAGAATCTAGGAACAGTGTAAGTCAATAATAACATTATTCGTACTACTAGTAGTTACCAGCCGCTCCACCTCATCAAGAAGGGACTGGGACTCTATGCTCCAAGCTCAATCTCATCCATATCCGATTAAAGGGCACCGCCTGGCAGGTGCTATAAACGCCGGCCTGACAGGCGCCTTAGCGGCCCGTCATGCGTCCCTATTCCCGATGCCTTGGGCACCCAGCCGCCATGGATGGTATTCGCGGTTCAACCTCGTAACTATTCAACCGCCAGATGTCTGCCCCGACCCAAAGAGCCCGTCCCTGCAAAGAGGGCTGCACTCAGAGAAGTGAGTGAAGCCGGCCGTCGTAAGTAGCAGTCGAAAGTGTGTCAGGCCTCCCTAATCAACCATCGAGAAGAGCAGCGCCCAATGGCTCGACCTCTACTCCAGTGGCATCGTTTGTATGAGTTCCCATTAGGGCTGGCTACGGATGGGCGAGGGGGTCCGGATTACACTCGACTCTCAGGTACGGTGGGCTACTCGTGCCAATTTGCAATAACCCAATTCTGCCGATAATACTGTTTTAGCCTTCCAAGCTGCCTAGTTTGAAAAAAAAAAATACGCAAATATAAGTTATATTAGGATTATTAGGGCTATCAGGGTCTTAGAGTATTTTAGGCCGAAGATATTAGTTTATTAGGATTCTTTATTAGGAAATCTTGTAAACAATTTTTATATTAGGGTCAGTTAGAGAAAAGGGCGGTCTGTTATTAATTTACAAAAATACTATAAGTTTACTATAAAAAATGGGGTTATTGTAAATTGGCACGAGTAGCTTGCCGTAAGCTGTTCCTTGGATTCCGCAACGCGCCGTGCCGCTGACCCGAACGAAGGGCTGATTAACCGCGGCTCCAGGATCAGATCGAGCGGCGCATATGATGCAGGTGATGCAGAATTGACGGAGTGGGCAAATGTAACATCGGTCGGAATAGCCCAACTCCCCTTGCACGACCGTGACCCCGCAATTCGAGGTGATGAAGTGTGACTGGCATCCATGTTTATTTATCCGCCTATCATGGAGTATCATGACGCTTCGCCACCAGCAGACCACCACACCCCTCTGCGGACGGCAGAGGGGTATAAGATGGTCTGCATTCTTCATCAAGGCCCACCAGCTAGTCCTCACCTCAGACGTGTCTTGAATCCCCACACCACACCGTCATAGTCACTTGCTTAACCATATGCATCGCATTATCACTTTTCTGGTCGCCCTGATCCCCCTCGCGCAGGTCGTCCACGCCTCGCTGGACATCGTCCCCGGCGCGACGTGGACTGCGGCGGGGACCAACAAGCATATCCAGGCCCATGGCACCGGTAGGCACACCCACTTCAGACTATCGCCGAGAGCCCTCGCGCGCGCAGACTAACCTGCGACCGCATGTGCATCTCCAGGGCTCACCGAGGTGGACGGGGTGTATTACATAATCGGCGAGAACCACACCTCCGGCTCCAGCTTCCAGTCGATCAACTGCTACTCTAGCACGGTGGGAGGCCCTAAGACTGAATGCAATGCATGGTGTCGTATGCTGATTCTGCTCTCGAGAATCTCCTGGACTGGACGTTTGAGAACGAGCTCTTGACGTTGCAAGCCTCCGGGGATCTGGGGCCTAGCCGCGTCGTCGAACGGCCCAAGGTGATTTACAACGACCACACAAAGAAATACGTCATGTGGCTGCACATCGATGACTCGAGCTATGCGGAGGCCCGCGCAGGCGTTGCTACGAGTGATACGGTGTGCGGAGCGTATACCTATCTGTATGTTCAATCGTTTAGTTGGCGATGATGGCAGGGTTCTAAGGAGTGTCAATTCAGGAACGCGTCGCGGCCGCTGGGGTTCCAGTCGCGAGATCTCGGTCTCTTCAAAGGTGGGCACCTCTTGACTTTGATACGACGAATACTTGATTGATATTGTGGGCATCGGGCAGATACCGATGGGACGGGCTATCTTCTTACCGAAGACGTAGGTGTTGTTGCACCATGAGCCGCATCCCTCTTCTAATGTCGCCTTCAGAGGGCCAACGGTCTGCGCATCGACCGGCTGTCGGCCGACTACTTGACCGTCGAAAGCAACGTTCATCTCTTCACGGCGGACTACGAGGCGCCCGCCGTGTATAAGACCGGAGACACGTATTTCATGTTTGCCAGTCAGCTGTCCGGTTGGTTCACCCGCCCAGACAATTGGTGATTATGCTAATTGCAGACGAGAGTAGGGTGGAGTACGTATATGCCATTCCGTGACTACTCGTATTGACGCAAGTACCAGGCCCAAATGATAACAAGTACACTACGGCGACAAATCTCTCCGGGGTATGGCTACACCTCGAACACTTTTTGATGAATATAGGACACGATGCTGACTCCCGCTAGCCCTGGTCGGACTGGGCGGATTTCGCACCCTCGGGCTCGGAGACTTACAGCTCCCAGACCAGCTATGTCGCCGATGTGAACGGTCTGGTGATGTGGGCTTACTCCTATACACCGACGCGCAGAGATCCATCACAGGCACTAACCGTTGGGCAGGTACATGGGCGACCGGTGGGTGTCGACCGACCTGGCCTCGTCCACCTACATCTGGCTCCCGTTGACGATCAGCGGAGCTACCGCTACAATTGTACGCAGTCCCCTGTTCATCCTCCCACTTGCTTCCCTGTTACTGAGTGGCCCTCGACCTAGACCTCCGACGCCGCCTGGACCCCCTTCTTCAAAGACGGCACCTGGACTACTGTCTCTAACACCACCACATACGGCGCCAAATCCGCCGGCACGCTCGCCGGATCCGCCACCTCCATCACCTGCTCCGGCTGCAGCTCCGAGACCATCGGCTGGCTCGGGGGCCCCGACAACGGGACTCTCACATTCGACGCGGTGGACTTCGCCGTCGCCGGGGAGAATACCCTGCAGATCTCGTACGGGAACGGCGACAGCACCCAGCGCTACTGCTCCGTCACCGTCAACGGCAAGACGCACGTCGTCGCCTTCCTGCCCTCCGGCGGGCCGCAGACGCTGCGGACCAGTGTGCTGAATGCGGAGGTTAAGCAAGGCAGTGGGAATGTGGTCACCTTCTCTGCATACAACGGGGGATACTGTAGGGATTCCTGCTCTTCGGGCGGCTGAGCTTGATGGCTAACGTTCTTCGTGCTGTTAGGTCCTGACATTGCGGGCTTGGTCATCTCGTAGAGATCGGATTTGGCTTGGGTGGGTCGGTTTGGCTGGAATTTATGCTCAGCCCATGTTGAATGCGCGACTGAAGCGGTATAACTGTTGCCAATTCGGAAATGCGTGGGGTTGATCACGATTCCTTTTTTTCGGGTGCGGAGTGTATTCACAATACCACGGGAGTAGTAAACAGCAGGTTCCTCGCAACCTTGACCCTGTAGCGCTGATGCTACTAGCTAGGGCAGTTGCAATTGTGAAAACCTTTCTTAAAGATTGTCCCGCGTAGCTCGTCCTTGTCAGGATTAACTTGCCATCCAGCGGCCCCGCGAGCCCTATCTTGGGAGCTGCATCCGTCGGTTCTATCCCCTTGCGATCGGGTCCAGACCACCAAGTCAGTGGGATAACTTGTCTAGATTACAACCACCACGAAAAGATTCCAAATCCGGTTCTAGATAGTTTTGACACGCAAACACATGATCAACCTCTTCGTTGTTCCAAGACGCTACTGACAACTAGTCAAGTCCTCGCCATATTACCATAACAGTACCCGCGCCAATAGCACACATTTCTTCCGGAGTAAAGCTCATTCACAGAACATTTGCCATCACTCCCACTCCGCCTAGCAAAAGTGCACCGGCTGCCATCTCTCGGGCGTGTACAGCGCCGCCAGTGAACAGTCCAGTCGACGGAGTGGCGGTGGCGGTGGCGGCGGAAGACACAGCAGGGGTGGAGGTCGGCACGGAGGACGGAGCGCCCGCGGAGGTGCTCGAGGTTGTGGTCGGGATAACAGGGACGGAGGTCGAGCTGCTGCTGCTGCTGCTGCTGCTGCTGCTGTGTGTCTCATCGACGGACGTGGAGGAAGAGGATGGAGCGGAGGGCGCGGAGGTCGGTTGAGTGGTGGTGGTGTCGGGAATGTCCGCGGCACTCGACACGGTGGGAGTCAGGGTCACGCCGTACTGCTGGGCGCAGGTTTCGCGGTCCAGGCCCTACACTTGGTCAGTCTCGATGGTCTTGCATAGGAAGATGGATGGATGAACGTACGGTGGGGCAGCAGTAGGGGTCCTGAAGGCAGAAGGAGTCGCCGGGGCAGGCCCCTGCATGGGTGTCGATTAGCTGGCTGACAGTGGAACGGAGGAGGCTGATACTGGACACGTACAGGTCCCGCCTGGACAGCAGGTGTCACCCCGCGAGGGGAAGTAGCAGGTATTGCTGGTGCCACAAAGGATTGAGCCTTCTGGACAGTCGGAGACGGTTGTTGTACCGGGGATGAAGGCGCCGTTGCCGCTGCTTTGGCGCTTTAGAAGATGCAGAGCCTCCAGCTGAGTGAGGCCGTGCGCGGTGGCCGTGGCCAAGAGAGGGGTAAGTACGAGCAAAGAGGGACGCATGTTGATATCAACAGAGGGATACACGGATTGAACGAGTGGAGGTGAAGACAAATCAGGGTGGACAAAGAACAATGGGACAGGAGCAGCAGGGGGCATAGTTCCCAACCTTTATAGTTCTCTGCCGTTGGCCTTGTTGGTCGTGCCATGGAATATATCTCCAGCACCAGGATACGAGGTCCCTGCATCGCGTTTGCTTGTTCCTGGCGGCTAATCTGCGAATACGAGTCCCTGGCCATTGAGGGTTGCAGCCAAGGAAGTCGATTTGGCGAGTCTTGTCGA